ATGTGTGCATGCATGCTGTTTTGGAGGATACTACAATGCGTCCTCTGTACACATTCTCTTCCTGTGAGGAAACCCTCTGTGCACTAAAAACTGGCTTCCTGGAACCACAGGGACAGCTTCGCTCTCAGCCCCGCCCCCCATCACCCAAAGGTGATGGTAAGTCCTTGTCTGCGGGTCCCACAGACCAGCATTCCACAAAGCTGGGTGGAGTAAACGGTGCAGGATTACTCCAGGGTGACCTGGAGTGGACTGACTTACAGTCTCCTCACACCCAGCAGCTGTCCCAGGGCAAAGATGAGTCACCGCTGCCCTCTCCCACCGGTCTCCTGGCTTGCCCTGAGGAGCTCGAGTTTCATAGCCAGACCTACAGCCAAGGCTGCCTGGGAGGTGAGCCTGGAGGAGCAGAGGGGCAGAGGCAGGTCTTGCGGAGGGAGGTGCCACCTGCCACCTGCCCAAAACTGAAGCCCAGCAGCCTGGCCCGAAGGAGCTCTTGGCACACCCCCAGGCTGAGGCCAGGAACTGTCTGGCCACTAGAAGGCCACATGGCTGGCCAGTTACATCTCTTTTCCTATAGAAATCTGAACAGAAGGCCCTCCTGGGTGGCGCAACAGGTTAAGGCACAGAACTGCGAAGCTGGCCACAAAGGTTTCTGTGTAAGTTTGATCCCCGGCCCTGGAGCTGACCCACATGGCGTGGCAGACCTCTCCTGTCTCCCACTGCTCCCCTCAGCAGTGTACTTCATTGATCTGCCTGTTCTGTGCAACCCCCCCCCCATGTCTGGTGAATCCTCTCACGCACCCTACCCCTGCACCTCTGGCCCGCACCCCAATTCTGTATGCATAAACAAGTAAATCTTAAAAAAATAAAATAAAAATGAACTGGGAGATGGGTTTCATGCATATTCTAAAGTTCTTCCCAGGCAAGGCCTGGAAGAAGTAACTCCATTCTGAGCAGGGCTTAGCACCAAACTCAACAAGAAAGTGGATGAAGAAAAAGGGAGCAGAGGTGGAGGTCGCAAGCCAGGGCCCCACAGCTCAGGCTCGGCTCGGCTTATCTTTTTACTTCTTGAAACTCTTTGCTTTTCACCTTTATGTTTTTGAAGAGGAGGACAAGCTAATTGTTAGCGCATTATGTGAGGGATCTTTCTATAGGGATAGAGGAGAAAACAAATAATGCCCTGGGTTTGTGAGGGGGGTTTCTTGTTATTTTCAGTATGAAGAGAAGGCTGCGCTTTGTGAATATTATGAGGGAAGGCGGGAGGAATTCAAAAGTGATAGCTGGAGAGCAGTTTTGGTGACATTAAAAATGCAGGTGCGGGGTAGGGGGGGGGAGGCATTTCACACCCGATTAATATTTAACGTCGGGAAACAGTGACACCAGTAAGGGTGTGGGCGCGCAGTGTCAGGGATGGCCAGGGACTGACCACGCCAGGAGGGAGGGCCCTGCGCAGGTTTCGAGGCTGCGCTCCATTCTTCACGAAGCTGAGGCACACTTGTGGCCAGGCTTCGCGGCGACCCACAGCACCCGGGGCCTGCGCTGCGCCTCAACCTGGTCTTCGCACATCCACCAACGCGTGGCATTTGGGGCTCACCCCAAACTCCGCGGGGAGCGCACGAGTCCGCAGGCGCCTTCTGAGTCCCCGAGCCCCTGGCCCGTGGATCGATCTGGGACAAGATTCTCCAGA